CTCGGGTTTATGCATTATATTTCGAAATGGGTAAGTAGTCTCAAATATATATAGGATGACATTGAAAATATGGTTTCAGCTTCCTAGAGGCACTTAGCAAGGCGAGTGCCAATTTTTCTAAGTGAGGGTATCTAGTTTCGGCCTCACCTAGAGTCCTGCTAACATAGTAAATTGAAAATTGCGTACCTTTCTCTTCCCCGACCAGGACTCCACATACATCTATCTCCGATACTGCCAAGTATAGGTATAGTCGTTCGTCTGTCTTCGACGTGTGAAGCAGCGGTGGGCTCAATAGATACAGCTTGAGCACCTCCAAGGTCCGTTGGCACTCCGGGGTATATGAAAAGTTGTTCTTCTTCTTTAGTAGCGAGTAGAATCGCCCTAGGGCGGCTATTCGCCCGATTAACCTTTGCACGACCTTTACGTTGTCCACCACTGTGATATCTTCGATGGATTTGATCTCTTCGGGGTTGATATCGATTCTCCGGTTGGATACCATAAACTCGAAGAATTTTCCCGATCTGATTTAGACGTACATTTCTCCGGGTTCAGCTTCATATTGTATTTCTTCAATATGCTGAAAGTATCCTGCAAATGTTTCAAATGGTCTGCTGCTCGCATGGACTTAATCAACATATCGTCAATATACACCTCCATTAATTTTCCTATTTGTTCCTTGAACATCCGGTTTACTAGGCATTGATAAATGGCACTGGCATTTTTTAGTCCAAATGGCATCATGTTGTAATAATATGTGCCGTATTTAGTGATGAAGGAGGTTTTCTCCTGATCATCCGCGTTCATCCGTATTCGGTTGTACCTGGAGTAGGCGTCGAGAAAATTGAGGATCTTGTAGCCGGTTGTGGCATCGATCATGCGATCGATGTTAGGCAAAGGGAAGGAGTCCTTGGGACATGCCTTATTCAGATCCTTATAGTCTACACACATTCTTAATTTATTCTGTTTTTTAGGGACTACCACTACGTTTGCTAATCAATCCGGGTATTTAACCTCCCGAATGGACCCTATTTTAAGGAGTTTAGATACTTCATCCTTGATGAAAGCATGTTTGACCTCAGACTGGGTCTCATCTTGTGCTTGATCGGGTGGATTTTCTGGTCCGGGCTCAGCTTGTGCGCGTTTATCTCCAGCGGGATCCCTGCCATATAGAGATAGGACTTAGTGAAACAGTCTATGTTAGCTATAAGAAATTGAATGAGTTTTTTCCTGAGCTCAGGAGTTAACCCTGTACCAGGTATACCTTTCGATCGGGTAGATGCTCGATCAATATGACCCGTTCTAACTCCTCGACCGTTGTCTTAGTGGCGTGGGAATCATCAGGGACTATAAAATATCTGGGAACCCCATAATCATCGTCTTCATCAGTCCCCTATTTATCTAGTTGGGTCATGGACGGTGTCAGTAATTGCTGTTTAGCCTCTTGCTTTGTACCCGAACTTGGTTCCTTTAACTTTGCTAGTGTTGATATCAGAATCACCTCTTCGACTGAAAATATTTCCTTTGCGGCTGGTTGTTCTCCGTAGATTGTTTTAATCCCTCCCTAAGTTGGGAATTTTGACACTTGGTGAAGGGTCGAGGTCACTTCCCTCATGTTGTGGATCCACGGCCTCCCGAATGGGGCATTGTAACTCATGTCTCCTTCGATCACATAAAACATGGCCTTCTGGATGGTCCCAGCGGCATTCACTAATAATGTTATCTCCTCCTTAGTGATTTCACATGCCATGTTGAATCCGTTTAGAACTCGGACTGCAAGCATGATTTGATCTTATAGATCGAGTTGTTCTATAACCCTCGATCGGATGATGTTTGGCGAGCTACCTGGATCAATCAACACACGCTTAACTCGAGATTTATTTATGAGTACAGATATTATCAGTGCATCATTGTGGGGCTGCACGATCCCTTCTGCTTCCTCGCCGTTGAAAGACAAGGTTCCTTCCGGTATGTTATCTCGAGTAAGTTTTTCCCTTGTGATGGATACCCTGGTGCATTTCAACATCGACGGACATCCTTCCCACCAATGATCATGTTAATGACGTGTTGAGGTTCTTCTTGTTCGGCTTGTTTATTAGAATCCCTATTCATAAAATGGTTCTTCGCTCGGTCGCTAAGGAATTCTCGAAGGTGACCGTTGTTGAATAGTCGGGCTACTTCCTCTCTCAAATGTCGGCAATCTTAGTTCTATGGCCGTGAGTGCCATAATATTTACATCTGGTTAGGATCCCTTTGGGCAGGATCGGATTATAGGAGTCAAGGCCATTTGGTGTCTTTGATGCGTGCGATAGCGAAAACGATGGCAGCAACATTGATGTTAAATTCATATTCCGATAACCTTGGTGCTTCCTTAGGCCTAATTGGCCTATTGAAACCGTTATTGCTCATGAGTCCCCGGTTGTTCTGACCTCGATCAGTTCTCCTTTCACTTTGCATAGAATTCCGCCCGGACTCACTACTTCTTCGATCTCCATTGTAGGGCTAATACCGATCACTGTTTGACCTTCTTCTATCTCCATTGTAGGGCTGATACCTATCCCTGTTTGACCTCGATTCACGGTCGATATCTCTCTTGACTTCGTCAATGGTTCTGACGAGATAAACGAACCCCAAGGGGCCCCAAGTTGGTCATCTTCGACTCTGATCTTTGATTGATACCAGTTATGCACGGCGGCCCAAGTAACTGCCAGATATTCAATCAGATTTTGCTTTAACTGTTGTGAAGCCATCGGGCTTCGAACATTGAGTCTTTGGGTGAAAGCTTGAACGGCCCAATCATTAGCGACCAGTGGCAGGTCCATCCGTTCCATTTGAAACCGTGACACATACTCCCTGAGCATCTCATTATCCTTCTGTCTTACATTGAAAAGGTATGACTTCCTGGTCTCGACCTTGATAGCCCCGGCGTGTGCTTTCACGAAAGAGTTTGCCAACATAGCAAATAAGTCAATAGAATTAGGAGGTAAGTTATGATACCATATTATAGCTCCATTTGACAGAGTCTCTCCAAATTTCTTCTACAGGACACACTCAATCTCATCATCCTCTAAGTCGTTCCATTTGATGGCACATGTGTAGGAAGTAACATGCTCATTTGGGTCGGTCGTTCCATTTTACTTAGGAATCTCGGGGATGCGAAATTTTTTAGGGATCGGCTTTGGAGCCGCACTCGGGGGGAAAGGTTTTTGCATGAACTTCTTTGCATGAATCTAGGCCTTTTAGTATCAGCGGCGGTCCCGGGATTTGGTTGACCGTGGAATTGTAGGTTTCTACCTTTTGTCATGTGCTTCGATTTTCTTCTCCCCTGATTCTATCCATTTTGTCAATTCCTCGAGCATTTTTATGATCTCAGGATTGGTCCCTGATTCATTTCCACTCGACCTATCTACGACCAGTTCGTCCCTATGGGTGACTTCTCGGAATGGATTAGGTTCAATTTTGCTCGGTACGCGACTTTGGTTCGGTAGATGAGCTATTACCTCCTGTTGAGCTTGTAACATTTCGAAGATCATTCGTAAATTGATCCCGTCCCCTCCATTGTTTTGAGTATTTTGCGCTGTTGATCGGGCTCCACAACGAATGCTATTCTCGGGGTCGGTAGGCAGATTTGTGTCGATAGCCGCATGCGAGTTAGCATTCAACGGGTTCGGGACTGAAATTCCGATGGGATCAATGGGCGGTACTTCGTTACCGGACGCTATGTTGTTATTTTCACCGTGGTGACCGGGCTCGTTTTCAACAGGTAGGGGTGCTAATTGTGAATTTGACATTTTGAGCTTTAACCTGAAATCAGAGGCGCTTCAAAAAATAAGTGTAAAGCAATGTGTGTTATGGAAATTTGTATAAAATAACCACCATTATCCTTAACCCCACGGTGGGCGCCAAACTATTTACCCTCGAAATCGGATATCAACTGAATTTGTAAGTGTATTTAAGGACACATGGATTAAATTGACACAAAGCGATAAATTAAATTGCAATTAAAGTTAACAATGATAAAGTAAATTCAAACCGCACAATTTGAACAGTTACAGTCTTGGAAAGTGAGTCTCACTTGAAGTGGATATAATTTGATCAATATCAAGATACAGTAGAATAAGAGCTTAGCGAAAGAAATTAATAATATACCGCTTTGGAATGCCTGTTGCAAGGTCTTTTACAAGTACTCAGACCCCTTTTGTATAGCAGGGAGTCCTATTTTAGGTACAATTCTATAGAAGGCAAAAATCTTCTAATTTGCTGATTTGCCGGTTCCTTATTGATACATGCCGAGATTCCCGCCGTAATATCCGACCGGTGACGGATATTTGGGCCTTCTGTTATTTCGGTCTTCTGTTGGTTACACTGATAATGTTTTCTCGAGCTCGTTTGGGGTCAGGGTCGATTTCGGAATCACAACTCAATATTCTCGAGGACGCATGTTCTGATCTCGGGTTCTGGCCCGGTAGGACCGGGGGCCAATCCTTAGTCCCTCATGTTTCTGAGTCTGATCTGCCACGTCGTAGACGAGGCCGATTTCTACCGTAACAATAGTCACACTTGCCACATATTGAATTCTTTATTCGACCGTTGTGTTGGCAAGTTCCATTACCAAACTAACAACTCAAAGAGCAATGATTAATATCTATACTGAAAATCCTTTGTGTACATGGATAGCGAAGCTGTAAATAAGGCAAATTGCAAATGAATTTAATTAAGGTCTCGCGGCAGTCGGCAATGGAGATGACCTGGCCCCATCTTGAGTGGATAGTCCATTATCTTATCACAAAGAGTCTTAGCCGAGTATCCAAATTGGGAAGAAAAATATTTAGAGTTAACTTTTGTTAATATTTGTAGTGCTAAGGCTAATTATAAAGAATGATGACTTGGAAATCCGAATTATTCCTTCAAGAAAATAAAAATATTACTAATATATCCTTCCACTATAGAGTTGTCCTATATAAGCAACTGCCTCCAACGGGAGACTTCAATAATTCATTCAACACCAATAAACGAATTAAAGAAACAATTCAAAGAAAAACACATTCAAAAACCAAAAAGAGTACTACTTCTAATAGCAACTATTTCCACTCTATTAATTCAAGAATTAATGGAGAACTTTCACTACTCTAGAAGAATACTTTTATTACCAGCTACAATACCACAATACCACCGGGAGGCTACCATGGTGCCGCCTCCAGCAGCCGAAATCAGCCATGATCCAACTGACCTAGTACCACTTGGTAACAACGTCAACACATTTGATGCAAATGCTATTATGGTCTTGGCCATACTTGTATTTGCCTTGATCTGTTCACTTGTCTTGAATTCCATCATAAAGTGTGCATTAAGGTGCTCCAGCCTGGTATCAGTGCCAGTGCCAGACTCATCCTCAAACTATAGAAATCCTTCGGCAGCAAAGCTAGCCAATACTGGAATCAAGAAAAAAGCCCTCAACACATTCCCGGTTATAACATATACCACTGAATTGAAACATCCAGGGCTTGGCTCTGACTGTGTCATTTGCTTATCAGAATTTGGAATTGGAGAAAAAGTTAAGGTTCTGCCTAAGTGCAATCATGGCTTCCACGTCAAGTGTATCGATAAATGGCTCAATTCCCACTCTTCTTGTCCCACTTGCAGGCACTGTCTTATTGAAACTTGCCAAATAATTATTAACGGCGGGAGTTCTACTACGGTAACTAATAGTACTTCATCAGCAGCAGTTCAAGAAATAGTAATAAGGATTGAGCCTCTCCAACGTGAAAGTGTCACATCTAACAATCAAATATAAGGTAGAAAAATAGGAGTAGTATCTCGGCTATATATTGTTGGTTGTTATGTAGTACACACAATTAGATCAGGAGCTTAGCTTTTAAGTTGATACTTGGATTAATTATTTATTTTTTCTTGTTGGGAATGTTTTAGCGAGCTAGCATGCCGAATCGCCAGTGTAATTTTCAAATGATTCATTAGACCTGCAAGTGTATATAAAATTCAAACTTTACTTATTTCCGTTTCTTTATGATTTGATTTTCTTTCTTCCTGTCCCCCGGGAAAAAAAAGAGTTACAGTGTTTTCTTTAGGGAAGGGGCGAATTTACTTATGTATTATACATTTTTTTTTTTGCTAAAACGAAGAATTGCATTACTTAATTAAAATAGAGTTACAACATTGTTTGGAACGAAAGGAGCTAGAGGGGGGGGGGGGGGTCTTCAAAAAACAAGATTGGTTGTGGTGATGTTCTCATATTTGATTTTCCGAATTTAGCCAGCGCATCAGCCACTCCATTGCCTTCTCTAAGTGTGTGGGTAAGTTGTTGCACGTTCAGTTCTTTTTTTTTTTTTTAAGCAAATCCACTAGGCAGAAGCCTAGGGCTAGTTTTATTAATAACTAAAAAAAGGAAAAAAAGAACCACATAGGACAAGTATAAGTAAGGGGGACAATAGCACTAGTAGTGTTGCCTTTATGCCTTGGACATATAATTACTCCTTTGCGCCTCACAATGCCTATATAGCAGCCTCATGTAGAGGAATCATGGTGTAGCTGCCGGCAAAGTCTCAGAGGGCATATAATCTCATGGCCATTTGGATATCTTTCCAAAGGCATAGGACCAGCGCAACACGTTCAGCTCTTGGATCATCGACCTGCATGAAAAAATAAGTTGTGAGTATTTTGGGCTGCAAACTTCAAGGATTTGGAGCAATACCTGTGAGTTCGTTTCAATTATTAGAGGATGTATGTTTCTGCTAAGAGCAATGGTTAATCCATGATAGAGTGCCAGAAGCTCCGCTTGTAAGGCATTTGTGCATGGTAGGTGTTTTTCAAAATCATAGATCCATTATCCTGAGGTATCTCGGAAGACTCCTCCTTCTCCTCCATGATGGTTTGTTCAATCATGAGATCCATCAATGTTAAGCTGGTAATGTGTTGGAGGTGATTTGTGCCATGAGGTGGGTTCCTTAGTGCTTTTTGCTTTAGTTAGATTAATATTAATTAGGTAGGTTATTTGTGTAGCCAGCGAGATAATAGTTGTTGGGTTTATTGATTGATTTAGCTTGTTGTAATGGTTGTTATTACGGTTTAACCATATTTGCCATAATAGAATAGGTGTTAGTATAAGGGAGGGTATAGAAACTTTGGGTGTTATTTTGATTAGTGTATATGAGTGCATAATTTATGTAGCCAGTCAGTGAAGTTAGATGAGGGTGTTGTTATTCGTAGGTTATGCCATAGTGTGTGGGGGTGGTTTGCACTGTAAAAAGATGTGAGGAATGTCTTCCCTAGTATTAGGGCAGATAAGGCAGTAAGGATTGTTAGTGATTTTTTTGTGGTGGAGGAATGTTTTAGTGGGTAGTTTTCCTTGAGTTAGTAGCCATAGGAAGCATTTTATTTTTGGTAAGGTTGTTCGTTTCCAAATCCAGTTATTGGGGAATTTGAAAATGCAGTGATTTCTTTGGTGTAGGATGTGGAGGTACGCGGAGGAGGAGGTGAAATTGCCGTCATGTGTAGGGTACCAATAGGAGGTATCTATTCCTTGGTGATTTGGGACAATGGGGTATTGTTTATAAGGGAAATAATATTTTATGGTAATATAAATTAGAGGTTGGAGATATCCCAAGTTGAGTTGGATATGAGGGAAGCTACGGGTTTATTTAGTTCGTATTTAGGTATGGGACCTTGGATAAGGTGGCGAAGTGAGATATTATTAGCGATCCAATGATCATTCCAAAGACTTATTTTTTTTCTTACCGTTGACCACATTCCAGCTTGTGCCTGAGTGGCCGTAGATTTTTATTAAACTTTTCCATATGTAGGATGCTCTTGAGTAAGACTTAATAGGATATAAAAAGTTGTTAATTTTATTATGTTGTGGATCATATTTAGCTACTAGGACTTTAGTCTAGATTGGGTTATTAGTGTTGGGAGTATCGCCAAAGGAGGCCTGCGAGGATGGATTTGTTTTAAATGGTCAGTTTTTGGATGCCTAATCCTCCTTCTGATTTAGGAAAAGTACATTTATCCCAGTTTATTTGGTGAATTTTCTTTTTTTTTTCTGTTCAATTGTGCCCCATAGGAAATATCGTCGTAGGTGATCAATTTTTATGATGACTTTAGGAGGTAGTAAATTAAATTGCATTATATGGACATGGATTGTATTTAGGACTGATTTAATAAGTGTGACTCTTCCTGCTAAGGTGAGAAATTTTGCTCTCAAATCTGAGAGTTTGGTGGTGATTTGATCAATAATGTATTGGTAGTCTATGGTTTTTGGTTGGTTGGTAGTTATTGAAAATTCTAGGTATTTGCCAAAGTTGGTGGCAATGGGGATGTTTAGGGATGTGAGGATGGTTTGGCTAAGCGTTGAGTTGACATTGTTAGAGTAAAATAATTTTGATTTGTGAAAGTTAATACGTTGACCAGAATTTATACTTAATTGGTTGAATATTTCTATTATGGTAGAAGTGTTAGTAGTAGTTGCTTGTGCTAGTAAGATGAGATAATCTTTATACATTAGATGTGAGAGTGGATAAGCATTCCTATGCAGTCTTATTGGTGTCCCTTTACAAACGTTCACATTGTACTCAACTATTCGGGATAAGGATTCCATGCATATTATGAATAGGTAAGGTGATAGGGGGTCACCTTGTGTTATACCCCTAGAAGGTTGGAAAAAGGGAATTGGTGTGCCATTGATCAATATGGATATGGAGGAAGCTGTGACACAGGACATTATGAGGTTGATTAGGGGTAAAGGAAAACTTAGGTGGTGTAGAGAGAATTTAATGAAGGATCATTCTAATCGATCGAAAGCTTTTTCTAGATCAATTTTTAGCATCATCTTGCCTATTTTTCCATGTTGATTTTTGAAGGCGTGTATGATTTCCTGGACAAGGATAGCATTGTCAGCTGCCCTACGACCTTTTAAGAAGCTGCTTTGGGTTGGATTGATTAGTTTAGGAAGGAAAGGTCTAATTTTATTAATTATAATTTTTGTAATAATTTTGTATATTGTGTTACAGAGGCCAATTGGCCTATATTGGGTGATAGATTCTGGATAACTAGTTTTTGGTATCAATATGATGTTGGTTTTGTTAATTTTCGGAGGGATAGTAGAATTGTGGAAAGTATGTTGACAAGTGTGGGTAACCGCTTGTTTGATTTGCGACCAAAACTTTTGAAAGAAAATGGGGTGTAATCCATCTGGGCCTGGTGATTTTAGTGGTTTGAATGAGTACACTGCCGTGGTGATTTCTGTATTAAATAGTGGACGACTGACTGTTTGTCATCATCAGTTAATGATTTAGAGAAGGTAGGTATGTATTCTTTTTGGCATTGAGTTAATTCAGTGGTAAAAAGTTTTATGTAGTAATTAAGGATTGTATCATGTATGACATTGGTGTCATAGGTCCAATTTCCTACTGAATCATGTAAGCTTAGGATCCTATTACTTCTTCTTCTTATTATTGTGGAGAGGTGAAAGAAGGCAGTATTTGCATCCCCCTCATTTAGCCATTGGACACGAGATTTTAATTTCTAAAATTCTTTCTCACTCCGTAATAAGTTGTTAAAATCAATGATTAGTTTATTTTCAAGGTTGTAATGAAATTTATTTTGGTGCATGGGTCCATACTTTGTAACCCTTTTAGTCGGGCAAGTAAATTTTTTTTTTTTTTTTGTAAAAAAATATTTCCAAACGTGTTGGCATTCCAGTGGTTAGCTAAGTCTGTGAAATATTTTAGCCCGATGGAGTAGTCATGTTCATCTAGCCATGTGTGGGTAATAATATCCTGGAATTGCAGATGTTGAAGCCACATTATTTCTAGTTTAAAATTTGACCTAGGTTTTGGGGTAAGATTTTGTTAAATTTAAAATTAGTGGGCAATGATCCGAGTGTGTGCGGGGTAGGTGTTTATCAGTTGGCTCTTGAAATAATTCAAGGCATTTGTTATTAGCATAGAATTTGTCTAGTATTATAATTGATTTAGGGAAATTTTTAGTGTGGATGAATTTAGGTTTATTAGTCCATGTAAATCTTGGGCCTGAAAAACCTAGATCTATCATTTTAATGTTATTTAGGCATTTGTTAAAAGCTGAGTACCTCTTAAGATTTATAGGGGGCCCTCCTAATTTCTCATTAGTTGTAGAGACTTCATTGAAAATCGCCACATAGTAGCCATGCACAAGAATGAGTATTATGAACAGTTTGGAGGTTATTCCATAATACTTGTCTATTTGCAAAATTATTACTAGCATAAATCAAAGAAAGTAGCCAAGTATGTGATTTGTTTACCTGGACTGATGCATGGATTCCCTGGATCGTGACTGCTACTGGATCTACAATCAGTTCATGGGCTCGCCATAGTAGAACTACTCCCCTGAGTGACCTTGTGCTGCAACTTGGATGAGATCTGTGTAGTTGAATTTTGCAAGGAGATCCGTGTGATCTTCCATTTTTGTTTCTGTGAGGCATAGGATTGATGGATTGTTCCATGATAGTAAGAAACGCAGATTCCGGCGGAATTCTTGATTGTGAGCTCCCCGATAGTTCAAAAGCATGATCTTCATGAGACCTTCATGTTGTGAATTGCTCCCTTCCGGAGTAGTGATAATTCCAAGTGCATTAACAGGTGTGGTGGATTGTATAGTGCTGCAGGTAGTAAGTTGTTTTGCAATGTTGGGATCATGAGTATGACATACCTCTCATCCAAGGAGAAGCGGTCTAGGCGTATATTCAAGGAGGTTTTCTGGAGATTTGGGGGGATGAAGATTAGATTTTTTTTTATATTTCCTGACATGGAGATCGTCAGGAAGTCGCTCAATATCATTGACTCCATAAATGTCTCCGGCAGGCCGTTGTCTTCTTCTGCATGTTAGTGATTTCCTGGGGTGGTGGTGGTGGTGGCGAGTTGATATTGATTACCTGTTGGTGAGGTGTCCCTGGCAGTTAGGTTGTGGCCTCTCCAATGAGTGTTGAGGAGTTAACCATAGCCTCAAGTTATTTTGTGGG